TGTGAACACGATATAAGGTCAGTTGTTAGATTACGACTAATCAATCGTTCAAGATTCATAACCTGAAGGTGTAACTGTCTAACGTATGTTGTGAGTGCTTTGTCGTAAAATCGTTTGATCCTTGATACTATGTGAAATTGTATTGCAAAAATAATTTTAAAATATGTAAAATGGATTTTTGTTTTAGTTAAACAAATTTGGGATTTGGGATGAATATACACATTGGATCATACGAATTATCAAGAAGACAAATGCAGCGAAGAAAATCTTCTTTTCGACGAAGTCACCGTCAACTAGGCTGTACATTTGTGTATTTTTATAACAAATGGATAGGAAACTTCCAGAATAATTTCCGGTTAAGGGTCAAATTAATAAAAATTACAATTAGGAATTAAAATGCCATAATAAACAGGGGAGGGGGACGGATAAAACTCGAACAAAGTAGCATTATAATTACTAAGAAGATTGACATGTTGTTGTGCATTTGGGGGTTAGAAATGTAGAAATAACAAAAATAGACAGGATGTTTGGATAAAAAAATCTAGTCGGATCACAACTAATGTGATGAATAACTGTTTATGCAAATAGAGATTAAATATGTAGAAATAATAAAATGACAAAATAGACAGGAAGTTCAGATATGAAAATATGGTAGTGTAAATAGGAGGGATTAAGAAAAACTTAAAAATAACATGAATTAACAAGAAGTTTGGATAAGAAAAACAATGGGATGGTCATTACTAAAAGAATTACCTGTTTATGTTGGCCATGGCAGGGACAAGGGTTGGACGTATTTCTTTTGGATAAATAGCGTGGATTTGAGCTTTTGGATAGCTAGTACCTCGGCTATGCCCAGATGTCTTAATTTCACTCCCTTTGATAGGTTTTATCGAATCTTGTTTATGATTTTGAAGGGTTTCTTGAATGGCGCTGAATGTCCTGAATTCACCAGATGTTCTGTCACCGAACTATATACACGTTTTCGTTCTCCTTTTACTAGCCAGGTTGGATAGTGTTCACAAGCGCGTTTTTTCAAGTTGGCGCATGGTACGACCAATGTACTCAGCTCGGCATGAGCAAGTAAACTGGTGTATGCACGGTGAAGTGGCCCAATGCAACAGCTAGTCTTTCGCGTTCTGGCTGAACAGTTTCTTACAGGAAAACGTTAGTCGTGAGCCCGTGGCGAATTATGTTTTCCTCAGCGATTTGGAGAGGCGTTTACGAAGGATTTCTGCTTCAATACCACTTTTGAATTCTAGATTAAGCAGAAGTATTTTTCTTGGAACGGATTGGACTTGCTCGGAAGTCTTCTTAGATTTGAGATTCTTGTCTATGAACCTGGGCGGAAAACTGTTTTCCATCAGGGTTCTTCGGAGATTATGCAGTTCTTCTTCAATCACTTCTTAGCTGCATATCTTCCGAATCCTCGAGGAAAAAGCGAATATCAGGAATAGTAAATATACATTGTTTTTCTGAAATATAGTTGCATTTTCATGCTGGTCTTTCACTGAATGTTTGGAGGATTTCGCACCATGTAGGTTGATACTCACTGTGTAGGTGTTCCAATGATACAGTGCTGCTCAACCACGTCTCATATTGTCCGGATTCGATTGCCAGTCGACGCACAAGTGGACCTCTCTCTCTCTCTGCCGGTAGTATGCCCGGTAAACAGGGAAGGTAGGGCGTGAGGTTAACAACCTCAGTTCGTAAAACAAAAATAAAAATCACTACCGCTACTAAAATTTCAAAGCTAAAGCTTAAGGCGCTATAGTCGGTTCAGAACTCAGAGGAATGAGTTTTAATGTGTACTCATTTAGCAGAAAGTCATTCACAAACAGTTGGACGTGATAGGACATTGTAAGTGCTTTGCCGCATGACTTCAACTTGAACAGTCAGCTTAAATAGTGAAGACCAGCACTACATGTTCAGTGATAGTGAGTCTGTAGGCTGATAAATTGAGGGGATTATTCAGTTCTACAGATAGCTGTCATCAGTGGGTAAGATTGTTTAGTTCCGAGTGTGTTAGTATATATACGTCTATCACATGTTAAGCACTATCTGCTGGTTAAATGACATTAGATTGACGTTAGATTGTATGCAGCTGTCAGTGAGCTATATGGAGGACATAATCTTCGTTTTAATGCTTGGTAGCACAAATCACTAACGTTCAGAAGACACATGTTCATCTCGAAATAAACAATGCTTCTAGGAATCCTCTAGTTGGAATTTTCTTTTAACTTACATAATTAAAGATAATGAACCGATTTTATCTCTGCGAATGAAACTCGCACCATATCATCTAACTGCTTCAAGAACACTTCACCACTATGCCCTATTCCCTGTGGTCATCTTCAGCTGGTCTCATGAGTGTCCATAGCCTCCCATTCCCTCCTCACATGATCTCCTTCATGCTATTGTCAAATTGACGCTCCACTCACCATTTCCCACTCAGATTCCACTCGAACAGTGGCTTTGCATGCCATGTCAACCAACAATCATTTAATCTTCAGAAGGGAGTGACGGAAGTCGCTGATAAAAGTCTTTAACCTGTCGGGAATGCTTTTCATGACGCCGATGACCCATATAGAAGAATTGACTGACTTCACTGACATTTGTGTTGAAAATTTGAATCTTGTTGTTGATTCTAAGTGCAGAAGATTTTCAAACTGACTTCAGAGTGTTGAAGGTGTGCCTTGCCTTTCCCATAATCTGGTTTTGACATCATCCATGGCGCAAGTAGTGGGAACGATGCTTCCTAGATATAGATTATCTGCGAAATCCACATCTTCCACAGTTTTCTTATCTGTCAAGGATATTCACGTCATCTCACTTCCCACGGTCTCAGACATAATCCAGTCCATCACAGTTAGGAATATCATCGATGACTCTAAGTAGCATGGTATTACTTCCGTCCTTACTCCCAAAGACTCCATTGAGTTTCCGGTTGTGGATCACCTGGCACATATCACTGTCATATAGCCAGCTGTTGAATGAGGTTCATAAAGACTTGGTGGCACAGTGGTTAGGACTCTCGCCGACCATCCACATGGTCAGGGGTTCGAGCCCACGCCGACGCACACCTGATATCAATGGTCAGCCTGCGAATTTTGGGCTACCGATATCCACGCTGAAAATTCCATACTTGTACCAAAAGTACAGTGTGGAATCAAGCTGTAATCAAAAATAAAAAATAAATAAATAAGACACTTGCACGCCTTAGTGTTGTGAAATAGTTTCAGAATTACTTTTCAAAGTCAATGAAATTGAGGAAGAGAAAGGTTTGATTGCCATTCTATGATGATGATGCATAGATTTCCTATTCAGCCTGTTCATTAATTGCCTTTCCTGAATCTAGGTTGTTCTTGGTGGAGTTCCGCATCAAATTCATCTTTTATTCTTCCCAGGATGACGCAACTGAGTATTTTACTTGGCGATGACAAGAGCATTTATTCTTCACCGGTTTTTGAAGAGACCACTGATCAGATAGGTTAATATATTTCCTAAATGATGGCATTAAAAACATGATTAAGAAACAATTTTGTTTTATAATCAATCATGAATATATGTCACGTTAGTGAAAATTTGTAGAGATTGAATCCTCTACAACACGTATATGTTCATTTCATATTTTATTAATATTTGTTCTTATTCTTGCCTTCGGCTTTAAAGTTCTAGTGGCAGTGGTGTCGCTGTCCTCACATCGAAATTCTCTTATTTTTCGGTTTCACAATCGCCTAATGAACTAGATGGGGTTAACGATTATGTTAGTAGAGAATCGAACCCTGGCTATGGACATGTCTGGTGAGCATTCTACAGTGGCGTGTGTTGCTGGCAAGAGTTATCAGTTGTATATAAAGAGATGTTCATCGGTCCAAAAGCATCAAGTAGAGGAGAGATAGATTTGATGTCAAAGAGAGAGGAAATGAGGCGGTGTTGTGGCAAAACATGAGAGACACGAAAAGAAGACAAATAAAGATGACAGGAAGGGTAGAAGTAGCACAACATGGAAGATCTGCGCAAATGACGACTTTCAGATTACAGTGTACTTAATTTCATAGCACTCTGCGAATCTTCAATTTTCTGTCCCCATTCGTTGGATTTTGGTGACTGCGCTGCAGCTATCGTTCTACTCAACAGTCATATGGTCATCTTAGCTATTCCGTCGATATTCATGGCTTGCGCATCGCTGACCAGTTGTAGTTGCTGAGGAATTCGGTCTGGAAAACTCTCGATGAACTGGGAAGTCAATAGCTGCAACTCAGAATTTTCATCCAGTATGGGGAGGGGGCGACTTGGTAGATTCGTCAGCTTTACCGCCAACACTAAAGCGTTTCCATCAGGTGTCAGCTGCGTGGCACGGAACTGCTTTATTCTCAGCTGTCTGTTCGCTTGGATCTCAAACTCCTCCACCAACCTTTCAATCAATACCTCCAAGGTCTCTTTAAAACTTGATCACTTCACACTGTCGCATGCCACCTTTGCACAACCTCTCAGCAGCGTCTCCAACCCACTAACTCAGCGATGGCCTAGAAGTCCCACCAAGAGCCGGCCGTGGAATCTTCATTGTCTGGAAGCGTCACCACCGAATTTAACGGTAGAAGACAAGTGAAGTGGTGACGAAATCAACTATTTGCAATTCGAGATATACATACAGGGAAATTAGGTACACCTCATATGCAAGTCGTCATTTGCACAGATCTTCCGTGTTGTGTTACTTCTGCCCTTCTTATCGTCCTTCTTTCCTTTTCGTATCTCCCATGTTTCACCGCAGCAGCAATACTGACTCAGTTCCTGTCGCCTTGACGTCAGATGTATCTCCCTGCCATTCGATGTTTTTTTTATACCGATGAAGGTCTCTTTATATACTACTGGCAAATCTTGTCAGTAGTTCACACAATGCTACAATTATATAGACAATTAACATTTTTTCAATATTCAACCAAACAAAATATATCCTAATCGATATTTTTTCTTTTCTTTTATTCCGTTTTTGTCTTTAGGATTGGTGCAGGGTGAATATATCATTATTAGCCTTTATTTTAGTCAATTGCTTGTTGGCTTATTTCTTCTATATTATTATATATCGTTGAACTAATGAACACAAACACACAGACACACATACGCACAAGCACGCACTCCGTCTCTCTCTCTCTCTCGCTGACTGTCAGTCTCAATCTGTTGAATGTACCCAAGACTTCAATTCCACTGATGATGATGATAATATCAATAATATATAAATCACCAAATATCCAAACCCGCCGCCAATCAAGCACAGATTTCATAATAAATATCCGGTGTATAAATTTAAACAAAAGAAGTTAACTATTGACAATTGAACTTTATTTAATGAAATACCAATTTAAACAAATGCTTCATTTTTTGTGGACAGAAGAAATTCAATGCTTTTGTGGAGTTTTGCTCAAGTTGACCGAGTTGACACACACATATATACATTCACACATATTGTGCATGTTGTATATGTGTGTGTGAATAACTCGTTTCTAACTATTGAAACGCTATACAGTGAAGTGCTGAGTACAATTAGTATCATGAAATTGATTATTTGTGTAATTATATTAACAACCTATGTTGTTGTTGTTGTCGTCGTTTTTTGTTAACAAGAAGTAAAACCAAAACTATTTGGCTTGTAGTAATTAATATTCAAAAGTTTGATTTGTAAGGATTAGATTTGTTTTTGTTTTTACGAGTTTGACCACAGATTCTTGATATCATCATTTAGAGAACCATTGAAAACCAGCAACAGGGAATACTGGACAGCCAGCTGTTTCATCAGTCTAGTTTTGGAATCATCATCAGCAGTACGCACCCACCCGCCACCAGGGTTCGAACCCAGGACCTTCTGGTTACAAGACAAGCTAGCTCGTACATCATTCAGCCACGGCTCATGAATTCCAACTTCTAACAATTCGTGATTTTCATGGATAATCCTCATCCAGGCATTAATGAAAACAAAACACGTAGATTAGCGAAGAGTCTCTTTTCGCCGGCGAATTCATTTTTTTAGCTGTACAATCGCAAATATATATGTGTGTTATTTTGTATGTATGTGTACATTAAGTTTGTCAAACGAAGTTACAGTTGGTTATGGTTATTTTAACTAAACAGGTGAAGGTTGGTAATACAAGTCAAGAAAATTAAGTGCTAATGGAACTAGGGTAGTAACAAAGGTGATGAGTTGTCACAAACAGTTGTTAAAAAGGAAGTTATGTAATAATAATATGAATAGTTTGACGAGTGAGTTTTACTCAGGATACACATAGAAACAAATTAGAGAATACAAAATTACGTAAGAGTTCTAAATGAATACAAGAATTATAAGCAATTAAAGTAGCAGGTAAACAAACAAAATTAAGTCATCAAAATCAACAAAGTTGTTACCATGACAGTAGAAGTGGTTGAGTAATCTTCTTTTGTATGCCTAGCTCCGGTTTTCCTATGTGAATGACCAACGATACAAAGAAGACGAAACCGTATTGCCTTAGATAGGTTATTCTTGACTCTGTAGATTACTTTGAAGCAGGAGGCGTTTGTTGAGATGGAATGATCAGTGTTAACTAGGTGTTCAATTATCACACTGCTTATTGCACCACTATTGCCTTTTCGCAACCATACTGGCTGGATAGTGTTCTTGAATCCTCTTGGACAGAATGCGCGTCGAACGACCGATTTACCTGGCTCCATAGCATCAGGTGAACTGATATATGCACATAGAAGTGGTCAGATGCGGGATATTGTCCATGAGGCTTCTGCAGATCAGTGGGCGACTTACTGGAGAACACTATTCTTAGCGTTGCTGCAAAGAATGTTCTCTTCTCAGAGATGGTGTGATCCTTCTCTTGAGAATATCACTTGCTAAATATCCCTTGAAATCCAAGTTCATGTAGAGTTTCTTTTTAGGCGCAATTAAAGTTTCGTTTCTCCGAATTATTGGTTTGATATTTTTGTCGATGAATCTTATTGGGTATCCATTTTGGACGAAGATTTCTCTTAGAATATCTAATTCTGTTTCCAGAACGTTGGGACTACAGATGCTTTGGATCCGGGTGGCAAGTGATTTAATTAAATTCCGCTTTATTTTGAATGGGTACTAAGCTATAGAAGCTTGTTAGTTGACCATTCCACGTAGGTTTTCTATGGATCGATCATCTTAGGCTCCTATCAGCTCTTCTTTTTAGTTCCACATCAACAAACGGAATTTCAACATTCAGCTGTTGACATCCAGCAATAAAATTCACACATATATACTTGCGAGTGTACAGCTAAGAAAATGAATTCGCTAGCGAAAAGAGACTCTTCGCTGATCTACGTGTTTTGTTTTCATTAATTTGTGTTTTAGCACAACTGGCCCATCAACCAATGTCATCAAATGGGGCTCCATCCTCACACATGACTGGATTGGCCCCACTCGTATAAACCAATCTAATCCTTACAAACCAAACTCTTGAAAAGTAATCTGATGCTCGCTAGTGACTGACTTGCTAAAGGACAGAGTTTCCTGGAGTTCTACTGAGAAGTCATGACCAACGAGATCCATCCAGTCGGGAGTGAGGATGGATTTCCCATCGATGACATTGGTTGATGGGCCAGTTGCGCTAAATCACGAATTGGTAGAAGTTAGAATTCATTGGCTGACTGTTGAGTTGGGTCCCAGTGGCTGAATGGTATACGAGCTTGCCCCAGTGGGGGTACGTATTGCAGTAGTAAATTGAAAATCAAACATATTCTTATTATTCCCTAGCTTTGTTTTGTTTGTTTTTTTTTCTGTTTCAAAACAAGTTGAAAGTTGCTATGACAACGGTATCTACTGAATATTGAAGGCATTTACTCAAAATTTTTTCTCTTATCAATAAACAAGAGGAAGACAAAAAAGATTTATAGTGTAAAATGTGCGAAGTTTTTGCAGAAATGTATTTCGAGGTTTCTTTTTAGGAGGATATAGGATTTAGTTGAAAAAGAGATTAGGGTGATCAAATCAAAACAGACCACAAAACTGAAACACATATACTCAAAGAAAATGACTGACAACTTCGGGCTTTACAAGAGATAGGTGGATGATAATTTCATTATCTGCAATAATTAGGAGAATTCGAATGACTGACTGAAGGATTTCATTATGAGCTGACATTGGAAAGCCTGCAATGTAGTACTGGACAGCTGTTTTGTCCTTGTAACCAGAAGGTCCTGGGTTAAAATACCGCTGGTGAGTGCGTACTGATGAAGAGTCCCAAACTAGGCTGACGAAACAGCTGTCCGGTACTCCCAGCTAGTTTATCAATGGTTCTCTAACTGACGTCAGCCCATGATGAAATCCTCCACCCAATCAAACAAAATCCCTACAAAACCAAAACTTGAAAATTCGGAGGACATCCTGAAATTGTTTTCAACAACTATCATCTCGCAATCTGGTTGACATCAGAGAAGGAGTCCGGTGCAAAAGTATCTTTTCTGGACGTCCAAGTAGCAAGACGGGAACAAGATGGGACACTGAAAAGATCCATTTACAGAAAGCTGACAAGGAAAGTACAATTCACTAACTTTCACAGTTAGTTGCCTCTATATACGAAGGGAAACCGTTCATTGAGCCGGAGAATCCGCAGCATTTACCGCCTTGACACTATGGAAGAGAAGCTGAACACTATGAGAAGAATCCTTCTTGAAAATGACTACCTAGAACGTTTCGCTTATAAAATCCGTGAAGCCGAAACCACTAAAACTGCCCATACTTTCTGCTCCCGAAAGACATAAACGAAATTTTCAACGAAATCAATGGTTCACATGAACGTGGAGGATAAGCTACCACTATTGGCGTCACCAGTGTACATCTACCAATTCACCTGCTCCATCTGTGGGGCTACGTGTATCGACCGTACCTGACGTTTTCTATCCAAAACGCATTATCCAACACTATGATTCCGATAATAATGCTATAGTACATTCACGTTCTACGATGTAGTAAATGCTGTGCACGGCCAAATTCGAACAATGGCGTATAAGGAAACACAATTGAAAACTTAAAAAGATGTATTGTTAACGAAATCTAATTTCGAAAAGCCCAAGGTGAAGGTTAAAGTGTGTAACCGCACAAATATATATATATATATATATATATATATACAGCAAACGAAAACAAATGTTCAACAGTACAGTGGCAAATATTTGACAAGCAAATGTAAAATTAGTTTCTGTAATCATATATTATGAATACATGAATTAGTTTTATAAAAGTACAGTTACAGTTAGTATCGGAACGCTACACACTTACCCTCATGGTTTCATGAAACAGAAGAAAGCTCCCCACCCCCGCAACTCTATTCTGAAACATCTGATTGAATCTCGACACCAAGCTAATCCATCCACAAACCAACTACAAAGTTATCTACAGAATATGTGGAACTTTTGCTAAAAGAGTAGGAGTTAAACTTCTTTAAAACACAGACGCGATTGCGACAATTCACGCAGGTTAAATCCTGAAATCTGCATACACAAACAAAGTTTGTCCAGTCATTAAATCTACAATGGACCTGATGTATCTTAACACCAAATAGGTCATTTTTGTTTTAATGTTTCTTAATTGTATTGTTTTCTTTCCCACGTCCTTATTAATTTTCTACCGCTTATTACCACTGCTGTTATCCCACTGAGAGATAACTCTGTAGGGTAAAGGACCTGGTGAACCCTTTAAACAAAATAATATAATTTACAAAATACCTTGCAATGACTGTAAGTTAAGTCAGCTACATAGGTCAGTTAAACCAGTAGATCATGACTAGTGGGATTATCAGGATATAGGAAATCAGCTAAGGTTAAAATGATTGATCCCGCGAAGACAGATGAGGAATTTAGAAGAAAAAACTCAGCATGTATTAACACACAACCATACAATAGGGTAAGTGGGACAGAGTCGAAATTCCAAACACAGTAATAAAGGTAGGTGGAAACAGACATTGATTATTGAGTCCTGGTTCACCGAATAATCTACACGCAACACATGCAACAGAAATGACTCAACGTAAATACTAGAGATATATCTGTCTGTCTGTTTTCGACATAGAACTTTGCACAAATGTGC